CAGGCCTTCAGTTCTAGCGACAGAGAGATGAGTAGACAAAGCAACTCAAGAGCTAAGAAAATATAGAGCCTATCTGGCACACCGTGATGTAATCTCCAGAGACTTGGTTTTAGTTTTCAGCCTGCTGGAGACCACTTGCCTGACCTATAGAAAAGTGACCTAGAGCTGGTATGTTTGTTGCCTACAACATGATAACATGACTTATTAGCATAATAAATACAGTAACTAATCAACACAGAGGCTTTATTGGTCAATATCTGTGTCCTGGCTAATGCTGGCATAAGAAAACTTCCTTGAGGTCTTATGTCCTACACCCAGAGTGGCAGATCTACAGTGAGAGATTGGGGAAGATGCTCAAGCTATGTGTACATAAATATTAGAGTATAATGGAGATTAAAGAGGATCAACACTGGGGTGCAGCCCAGTGAGCATCTGACTCTTGATTGCAGTTCAAGTCTCTGTAGGCATGTTACTTGTAATCTGCTAGTGTGTAATTTGCCACTGGGCTTGTGTGTGATTTTGCCAGAGTCCAAGATTGGGGTACAATATAAGGTTGTAATTTGGTGTTCAAGACTTTGCAAATCTGCTGGAAATGTTGTCTCATGAGTTAACACTCTTTGTCTTTGTCTTATTTGGAACAGAATTGCCACAAAGAAGGTGCATAGGGAGCAAAGGGAATAACTCATCCACAACAGGTGGAGCCAGGTAAATGTGTATCTGTTCTTCTTGGGTACATAGCAACACATCATTCCTATGAGTTCGTGGCTATTTTCAAATACAAAGTTAACACTTATATTGCTGAAGCAAAATGGAATGACCAACTCTCTGCCTACCCAGGAGGGAAAGAAGGGAGGGAGGGAGGGAGGAAGGGAGGGAGGGAGGGTCAAGCCTGTTAAGCGTCCGACTTCGGCTCAGGTCACATTCTCACGGATTGTGAGTTCATGCCGAGTCGGGCTCTGTGCTGACACCTCAGGAGTGTGGGGAGGGGAGCTGACAGCCATGTTTATCTCCTCCAGTCTCCAGCTTGTACCTCCTATCAGATGACTCCACAGGGGCACAGGCCGCCCCCCAAGGTCAACCTGGATAACTACAGGATGGATCTGAATAGCGATCATTCCACCGATGACGAGGCCCATCCCCAGAAGCCCATCCCCACCTGGGCCAGAGGTAAGCAGGGCCCGGAATTCCCCAGGAGACCTGGCTCCTCACTTGCGACATCTGGGACCCTGGAGGTGGTGGGGCGGCAGCTGTGGGTATCAGGAGGCTGTTGTCGTCATGGGCTGGCAGCTTGTATTGGACCTGTATTGGGCTTTGGGATGCACCCAGGGAAGGGTCGGCCCTCTGTGGCCAGTAGGTTGAACTGAGGACCAGAAGTACGGTATTGGGTGCCTGTGTTCTCAACAAAAGTGTTAAATTGTGGCTGGCTGCCGACAAGCATGGGGCTGGGTGTTCCAGCTCAGACTCTATGCACCCCCTTGGAGCCTCACCCAGTGGGCCAGATGAGAGTTGGACCCAAATAAGCAGCTTGGAGTAGGAATACCACCAAGAGTGGTCACCGGTTTTAGGCAGTGCGCCGAGAGCTGGAGCTGGGGGTTCCGGCAGCTGGGGAGGTCAGGAAAGCCCTGAGGCAGGGCCACTTGAGCAGGATTTGACCCCAGTTTACAAGCCCCAGCATTTAAACGGGAGCGTGAGTGTGTGTGAGCAGGCCACCACAGACCTGGGTGCAGGGAGCGGGGCCAGTACATACACGGTGGGCACTTCATAGAGTTTACAGAGCTGGGGGTCAGGGCTTGGTGCCTACTCACTCCCCAGAGAGAAGGGCCCAGAGGCCCATTGGGGGGCAGCACTCTGCAGAAGACAGCTTACTTTGGTGTCACCTCAGTTGAACTCCACGCTAGGCAGAATCTTAGTCCCCTTAACTTTTGACATCTGGGCATTTGGGAGGTAGCAGCAGGCAGGGGTCAGCATGGCCGGAGCCACCTAGTGGTGATTGACCGTCACCAGCTTCCGTAAACACCCTGAGTTCTCATCTGTGAAATGGGGTGTTACTAGGACCCAGCTGAGAAGGGTTATTTAGGATGAAGAGAGTTTAGGATGAAGAGAGTTGGTGCTCGTTCCTAAGGCCTGGTGCACAGCAGTGCTGGGCACCTGTTCCGCCTCCTGTCCCCCAGAGTCCTCCTGAGGCCTTGTTTCCAGGGCTGGGTGCCTCAGCCCATGGGTCCACTCAGCCTGCACCCTGTGCCGTGGGACCCGGGGGGCCGGTGAGAGAAGTAGCCAACCCCAGCAGTCAAGGATGGCAGCGTATGAAGTTTCGGAGCTGGACGGTCTCCAGACCCCAGCTCCCCCAGTCACGAGCTACGTGCCTTTGGGCAAGTCCCCCCCGCCCCGCCCCGCCTTCTGAAATGGGGAGAATAAAGGAGCTGCCTCCCTCCTGGTTGTGGGGTTGTGGTTGCCTGGCCCAGGTGAGCACTTGAGGACCTGTGTTCAGGCTAAGCTGCTGGAACGTGGCAGTAGGAACAGGCAATAAGAGCATTTTCACGAGGGCGCCTGGGTGGCTCAGCTGGTTAAGCGTCCGACTTGGGCTCAGGTCATAATCTCACAGTTCGTGAGTTTCAGCCCCCTATCAGGCTTGCTGCTGTCCGTGCCGAGCCTGCTTTGGATCCTCTATCCTGTCTCTCTCTGCCCTTCCCCTGCATGCGTTTTCTCTCTCTCTCTCTCTCTCTCTCTTTCTCTCTCTCAAAAATAAACATCAAAAAAAAAAAAAGCTTTTCAAGGAAAAGGGGAGAGGAAGAGGGCTCTGAGAGAGGAGCTGATGTGGCTGCGGTGGGGAAGGAGACAAGGTGTCAGGGGATGGGGAGGCTCCTGAGGAGCCCCAAGGCAGTGACTTGACCCTCCGTGTCCCCTGCAGGCACTCAGCTAAGCCAGGCCATCATCCACCAGTACCACCACCCCCCAAACCTGCTCGAGCTCTTTGGAACCATCCTCCCGCTGGACTTGGAGGACATCTTCAAGAAGAGCAAGCCTCGCTACCACAAGCGCACCAGCTCTGCCGTCTGGAACTCGCCGCCCCTGCTGGGCCCCAGGGTCCCCAGCAGCCTGGCCTATGGCCTGAAGAAGTACTGAGGCCCCCAGGCGTTCCCAGCAGTCTCCACCCCTGCGTGTGTCTGTGTGTCCGCCTCTCTGTTGGTCTGGGGCCATCCTGCCTGGTGTTCCGTCTCCAGGGGTTTGGCTGTGTGTATATAAATGTCCTCTGTGCTCCGGGGGTTGCAAGTCGCGCAGGCCTGTTTGGAAGCTGCACTTGGCGGGTAGTTGGGGGAGAACCTGCCCAGCCCCACCTGGCCTGCAGACAGCGCTCTGTAAATAGACTGTTAGAATTCAGCTGAATTTTAGCCTCTGGTGTTTGAGAGCTAGATTAATAAAGTCTGTTCCTTTAAGCCTGCTGTGGGTATTGTAGAGGTGGGGGCCGTGGCAGGATGCCCCTGGCCCCTGGCCCCGCAGCCATGTGTCTCAGGCCACCGATGGGCCGGGGACCAAGGGACTATTCCTCTTCCTGGAGTATGCTTCCGGCCGACGCAGTGGGTGATTGTGATGCCGTCTTTGGGCCACGCTGAGAAACACTTGAGTTACTCGCGCGATGGGGCAAGCGAAGATATTTCTGACGCTCGGGGGAGCTCCCTGTTTGTAAAAGGGAGCTTGCCCAATGGGAAAGACGTGGGGTCGAGGTCAGGAGGACTGGGCTCTTGACACAGCTCTGCCACCTAAGACAGTCCCTGGGCCCTGCAGCCTCCACGCTTGCCGCATGGACGGTCAAAGGACCTGAGAACGCGTGCACGCTGCTGAAGCAGGAGCTCTGATTACAAAGATGTCTCCTGAAACCACCTCGGGACCAGCGCTTGCAAGCAGTTGGAATGTTTCTCCAACAAAACCATGTAGCTGCTTATTAAATGCTTAATGTCCGTGGAAGCTGGCCCAGGGCCCGTCCCATAGCTGCCTGCTGTGCTCTCAGTGTGCGGTGGCTAGTTGCTTATCATCCACTCCAGCCCCCAGAACGAAAGTTGGCGAACCGTGGCCCCAGGGGCCAAATCAAACCTCAGTGTGTTTTTATGAAGTTTTATTGGAACCTTCCCAATTGCAGCAAATGCCTCATCTCAGGCTGCTCTGCCGAGGACGAAGTAGTTGCAAGCAAAGCCTGACGGCGCACAGAGCTGAAAAGATTTACTAGGACCCCCTACAGAAAGTTTGCTGACCCCAGCTTTAGGACAAAATAAAGGCTAAGTTCAAGAGTGTCTGAAAATGAGGAACTGGTGAATACAGACAATAGACTGAAGTTCAGAGGCGTCTACCAATTAAAAAAAAAATAAAAAAAAAAAACCATCTGGAGTTCTGGGTGCCTCTGTCGGTTAAGTCTGACATTCGCTCAGGTCGTGATCTCACGGTTTGGGAGTTCGAGCCCCGCATGGGGCTTTACGCTGATTAGGATTCTCTGTCATTCCCTCTCTCTCTGCCCCTCCCCCACAATCTCAAAATAAAAACAAAACCTTTGACAGTTCATTCAAATACGGTGCACGATCCCAATTTGTTCTGTATGCCCTGGAAGCTATTGTGAGTTCATTGGTGAGTGTGTCTCTACCTGAAACCACATTGTCAAAATATTACTTTTTCTGAGCATTTTTGTGTTTGAGAGAAAGTTGTTCAGCCAAAAGGTAGTTATAGTTGCCGCGACCTTCACCAGCACTTGGTGTTGGCAGTATTTTCTAATTTTAGCTATTCTGATATGTAGTGAAATCTCATCATGATTTTAAAGGGTTTTGTTTTTTTTGTTTTTTGAGAGAGAGACAGTGGGGGATGGGCAGAGGGAGGGAGAGAGAGAATCCCAAGCATGCCCCACACTCCATGCTGAGCCTGACAAGGGAGGGGGGGTGGGGTCGGGAGGCTTGGGCCCACCTGAGCCAAACATCAAGAGTCCCTCGCTCAATGGACTGAGCCACCCCAGGCGCCCCTCGTCGTTGTTTTAATTTACATTCTGCTAATGGCTGATGATGGTGAACATTTTTCCACGTGCTTATTTGCCATCTGCATATCTCGGTTGAAGTGTCTGTTCAAGACTTTTGTTCATTTGTCAATTGGGTTGTTTTATTACCGTTGAGTTTATCATCTTTATGTATTATGGGTACAAATCTGCTGTCAATATGTGCTTGGCAGTATTTTCTTTCTTGGTCCACACCTTATCTTTTCATTCACTTAATGGTGTTTTTCATAGAGCAAAAAATTTAATTTTGGTGGAGTCCCAATTTGTCATTCTTTTTGTTTTTTTATGGATTGTACTCTTTGGTGTCCCATCTAAGAAATCTTTGTCTAGCCCTGGTTCTCAAGGCTTTTCTTTTATATTTTCTTCGAAATGTTTTATAGTCTTATAAATACTACATTTACATTTATGATCTACTTGAGTTAATTTTTTTAAAGTGTGAGATTCCTGTTTTTCGTTTATTTGGTTTGGGGGGGCATATGGATATATATCCAATTGTTCCAGGACCATTTGGTGAAAAAACCGTTTTGCAGTGGATTTCCTTGGCAACTCTGTCCATCAGTCAGCCCTATTTGTATGGGTCTACATCTGGACTTTGTTTTTTTGTTGTTGTTATCTTTGAGAGAGAGTGGGGGAGTGGGTGAGGGCAGAGGGAGTGGGAGAGAGAGTCTTAAGCAGGGGCTCTGTCTCACGACCATGAGATCGTGACCTGAGCTAAAGTCAAGAGTCGGAAACTTAACAGACTGAGCCATTCTGGTGCCCCTATGTCTGGACTTTGAATTCTCTTCCATTCACCTGTGAGTCTCTCCTTTTACCAATACCACATCACCAAGGTTACTGTAGTTTGTATCCATCTGAAAAATCTATTAGTGTGATTCCTCCAACTTTAGTCTTCCTTTTCAAAATTATTCTGACTTTTCTATCAATTTTGCCTCTCCATATAAATTTCAGAATCAGCTTATTTATACAAACACCTTGCTGGGATTTTGATTGGGATTGCTTAAAATCTCTAGATAATTTTTTGGAGAATTCACATATGACAGCGAGTCTTCTAAACTGAAAATGGGACTTGTATTTCCATTTATTTACATCTGTGGCTTCGTCACTCAGCATTTCACAGTGTCAGCATACAGATCCTTTACAGGTTTTGTTGGATTTATACCTAAGCATTTATTTTTGTGGAGCTATCGTAAATGCTATTGTTTTTCTAATTTTGGTTTCCAGTAGCTCATTGCTGGTATGTAGAAATACAATTGCTTTTTGTGTGTTGACCTTGTATCTTGTGCTGCAACTAAAGCAGTACGTAGAGGGAAATTTAGAGACTAAAATGCCTGTGTTTGATAAAAGGTGTTACATCAAAGACTTCAGCTTCCACTTTAAGAAACTAGAGGGGCGCCTGGGTGGCTCAGTCGGTTGAGCATCCACCTTTGGCTCAGGTCATGATCTTGCGGCTCTGGGGTTCGAGCCCTACGTTGGCCTCAGTGCTGTTGGCTCAGCCTGGAGTCTGCTTCGGATTCTGTGCCTCCCTCTTGCTCTGCTCCTCCCCCGCTCTTGCTCTTTCTCTCTCAAAATAAACAAACAAACATGAAAAAGTATAAAAAGAAGAGCAAATAAATGTATAAGTAGAAGAAGGGAAATGACAAAGGTAGGGCAGAAATCGATGACTTTGGAGAGAGAAAAATAACGGAAAATTTAAACCAAAAGCTGATTCTTTGGGAAGCTCAAAAAATTCATCTCTAGCTTGATAAGGAGAAAAAGAGAGAAGAAACAAATGGCCAGTGTCAGGAATGAAAGAGGTAATGCCACTATAGATTCTATAGGTATTAAGAAAAGAGTAAGATTATTATGAGCAACTTCTGGTGATAAATTGGACAATTGACATGAACACAAATTCCTTGGAAGATCCAATTAGTTCACCCACAAGAAATAGAAAACGTAAATAGCCCTATTTATTGTTGAAAGAAATTGAGTTTGTAGTTTAAAATCTCACGAATACTCTAGGCCTAGATCATGTTAGTGGTAAATGCAACCACATATTCAAGAAAGACATATCAATTCTATGTAACCTCTCCCAGGAAATTAAAGAGGAAAGAACACTTTTCCACTGCATCTACGAGACAAACATTGCCCTCATCCCCAAACCAAACAAAGACACTGCAAGAAAGGAAAATTAGACAATTTTCTGTCATGAACCTCAATACAAAATTCCTAGCAAACTCATCACAAATCCAACAAGTTATATAAAAAGGATAATACATCTTAGCCAAATAGGGTTTATCCCAAGAATATAATGTAGTTTTCACATTCGAAAGTCAACTAGTGTAATTTTCATATCAATACAGGAGGAAAACCATGTGATTAATAGATGCAGAAAGCACATTGACAATTCAACACTAATTCACGATAAAAGTTCTAAGGAAATTAGAAATTTTTTTGGTCTCATATTCAACCCTACCTCTCTCTCTCATTAAGACTAAGCATGACCAATAATATGACCTAAATAAGTAGTTCCAAACATGGATGAGTGAATGAATTATAACACATGCAAACTAGAATTTAAAGGGAATTTGGGGTGATGGGGTGGCTCAGTTGGTTAAGCATGTGACTTCAGTTCAGGTCATGATCTGGTGACTTGTGAGTTTGAGCCCCTCGTCAGGCTCTGTGCTGACAAATGTCAAAATGTCTAACTGCAAATGACCCACAATAGCCAAAACAACTTTGAAAACTACAAACAAAATCAGAGGGGCTACGTACATGCCTTCAAGACTCACTACAAAGTTACAATACTTAGAATAGCATGGTATTAATGTAAGGATAGATCAGTGGAGCTATTCAGAGTCCAGAAATAGAACTACATCCACATGGTCACTTCGTTTTTGACAAAAGTGGAAAGGCCATTCAGTGTGGGAAGGATGATTTTTTTTCAATAAATTGTCTTGGAACAATCGAATATGTTAAAAAGTCTGCAAACCTTCCTCACACCGTGTGTCAGATTTAATTCATGATGGATCATAAGCCTAAATGCACAACTCAAGAAAACAGGACAAAATCTTACTGTCTGTGTTTGGCACAGATTGCTTACACCATACACGAAACTTATGAATTAGAAAAAGTCCACCAGTTGGATTGGTATAAAAGTAAAAATCAAAATTAAACCTTTTTGTTATTTTATTTAAAAATATTTGTTTTATGTTGATTTTTGAGAAAGAGAGAGAGAGAGAGAGACAGAAGGTGAGCAGGGGAAGAGGCAGAGAGAGAGGGAGACACAGAATCTGAAGCAGGCTCCAGGCTCTGAGCTGTCAGCACAGAGCTCAATGTGGAGGCTGGAACTCACAGACTGTGAGATCATGACCAGAGCCAAATTCGGACGCTTAACCGACTGAACCACTCAGGTACCTCCTGTTTTGCTATTTAAAAGTCACTATTATTCAGGGTGTCTGGGTGGCTCAGGCTAGTTGCCTGTCCCGTGAGGTTTTCTCTGTCTCTCTCAGGTAGGCAAAGGCACAGCTTCTTTCTAGTTCATCTGGGCTGCTGGGACTGGGACAGGCCTCAGTCCCTGTGCTGAAATGAGGCGTGAGCCACGGGGCTCCCCCCTTGCAGCTTGGTCTGCTGAGCAATGGCGAATGCCCGGTAAACTTGGCTTGGGCACAATCCCCAGCAGCTTCTGCTTCCTCTGGGCTTCCACGATGCAAACACTCTTCCTGAAGGTTAAGAAAAGAAGGAAGAGCAGGCATGAGAAGGGAAGTTGCCCATAGCCTGTATTACAAAAGTTTGCAATCTCTACCCAGATCTCAAGTTCTTGTCCTGTCTGAGCCGTTTCCTTGGGGCTCAATTGTGAGGCTCCCTTGAATACCTACAGAGCTGGGAGCGGGGCCCAGAACCACAGAGGCTGAGGTCCCCAGGGGCTTTGTATTCCTCACTGAGAAATACAACCTCCCTTGGCCCTGAATAAGCAGCAAATAGCTTATGTGGCCAACCCCTGCCAGACCCCCACGCCTTCTCAATAATTTCGAGTGTTCTCAACCAAAGCAATCTGCCTAGCATGCTGCAAAGGGACAGTGAGCTCATTTTCTTGCAATGGGGAACTTGTATTATAGTCATACCTCCGTTTGGCACTTGCATGGGTTGCAATCTATTAAGCCTGAAAAAGTTAGGGGTCTAAATTCAAGGATCTTTAATATTTGCCCACACATACACATGTGTGCACGCACACACACGCACACATACACATGCACACTTGCCTGCCTACGTTACTTCTTTCTTTAAATAGTCCTCTATTATTCCTCTGCTATTATGATATAGGAAAGTTGGCCGCATCAGATTAACTTCAGGAGAACCACTCCGGGGTTACAAGTCAAGGAAGAGGAGACGATGACCCATGAGTGCTTTAACATTTCTTTGGGTCCCTGTGGTTCCTGCAGGCCTCTGTAGGGATGGGGATGCCATCCCCAGAATCACAGCAGGGGGCACCCGAGGAGCATGTTTATGTCTCTGAATTGCACTTGGAGAATTTGGAGAACAGCAGAGGCAG